CAGTATCCATTTGCCAGACAGTTACCATTTGGGAGATTAGGGCGGTAAGCGGTTGTTTAACCCTACCTAGACCGGGCTTTTTTTGACATGGGGGGACCGGGGGGGGCTCTTTTGACCCCCCCCTAAGAACTCGCGAACGGTATGTCGTATGACCACCAAAGTTTCAGAGAATGGTGTACTAGTGAAAATTTATCATATCTACAATTTTTATGTCGTTATGACGTAATATGACGTCATTATGACGTCATTAATGTGATTTTATTGGCCAAAACCGTCTAAATAGGTTTTTCCCTGAAAACCTCCCTGGTATACGACATAACTTTACCAAAAGTGTTTATGACAGAATATTAGTGTGTACTAGTATGTTGCCCATAGCAACACCGGTGACGTCATAAAATGACGTCATCCATATTTAAGATATCCGCCATCTTGGATCATCAATCTTGAATTTTCAAAAATAGTTTTTTTTTCATGATAAAGCCTAAAATACATTGTAAACATACTAAACACCTTCATTCAAACCTTTTTTGTAAAACGAAATGGAAGTATTGATGAAATTTTAATGAAAAAAAAACGTATATACCTGTTCTAATGATATGGTCCGCCATCTTGGATTTTGGCCAATGACGTCATCAAATTAGCATAAATTATGCATATTTAATGATAAAATTTACATAAAATTATATGGGATGTTATTAATATTAGAAACCATGAGTAACTTGACATAAAACCCATAAAATTCTATTGTTGAAACAAAAAGTACTAAATTTAGCAAAAAATGCCTGTCAGAAACCCGTTGCCATGGCAACACAAAAAATTATTATCTTATTCCAATGATAGAGAATTGTTGCCAACAATATTTTAGGAAAAGTCACCAAGTTTGGTCGTTCTACGGCTAGCCGTTCAGACGCTAGGTGACATCAAAGTTGCCGCGGGCACTTTTAGCCCCCCCCCCCCCCGGTCTAGGTAGGGTTAAGAAATCATAGAATTTTCGCATCAATTATACAAATTATGCCATCATTTGCATAATTGGTATCTGTTGATGTTCCATCTGCCATAGATTACATACATTACATGTATGAAAGTACTAATTTAAAACACTGTAATTATAGAATTTCCTCATTGATTATGTAAATAAAGTCTTCATTTGCATAATTTGCACGTACATCTCTCTCTCAGCTACCTACCTACAAAATGATGAAAATACGTTGTTCCTATCTGGAATTATTGGCTTTTAAAGATTTTGCTCCAAAGTTCCCTGCAGTTCCAGAACAAGCTGCTAGGGGAACCAAACCCACACCACTTATTCCTGACAGGAAAAGCTATATGTGACCAAGAAATCAAGACTATAGCATGTTCAGGACAAAGGTTACAAAAACCGGAAGTTCTGCTGCAGTACCAAGCTCACCCACCAGGAGGCCCATATTTGACATTGACCTTCGACTTCCTAAGACCTACCAGCATACCAAATATCACAATCCATAATGGCGTTATGCAATTATGCTAACTACAAATGTGCGGAAACACACACACACACACACACACACACCAAAAACAATACCTCAATTTTTCATGGAGGTAAATATAAACACACAGACAGACCAACAACAATACCTACATACTTTTTTATGTCGTTAACTGACTGAAGTAACGTAATCCGTGAGTAAGTAGGTTTAGTCCTTGCCGTGAGTAACATGATAGTCAGTGACACACAATCCAAAACAAAACATCGCAGTCCGACCTGTTGTAAACAAAGGTTGACCTATGACCTCCAGCCATTCAGGCGTTTGAAGCCTCGGCTCAGCAGGAGGTCACCAGCACCTCAGCCACTTCCGGGTTACAAAACATCAACCATGGAGAAGGATATTGCCCAGCTAACTGGCAGGTGGAGACAGGACCACTCCCAGGACGAAAACTATGACGAGTTTCTTCGTGAACACGGTAGGTTACCAACCAGCGGAGCTTTGTGTTTAGTCTCCTTTGCAGGCTTCTGACTGGGTGGGAGTTTGATACCATGGTGGGTATAACCAAGGACGTAGAACGTCTGTAGAACGTCATTGGTATAGCCAAGGACGTTCTACTGTGATGGAAAGCTCCTTGGTATAGCCTTCTCTTCCGCCAAGCAGGTTGAAACCTCCTTTCTCCCGCCAATACTAGTACCTTTATTAATATCTGGCAGTATGAATCGTTCTCTCTGACAAAAAAATCGCGGATACGGCAGTACTCAAAACATGAGGCTAATTTTGTGTTGGCAACACACATTTCCTAACCTTCCCGCGACCACCACCCAAGGCCGGCTGAAGTTCGGAAGCAGTCTTAACCAGATTTCGGCCAGACCTACGTTTGTATACAAATTGAGTCGAATTTGAGTTAACTTTGAGTCAAATTTGGGCCCCCAACACCCCTACAGCACTGCTGACCTACTCCCGAACACCAGACAACCACCAGGCAGTCATGGCCGAACCTCTAAAGCATTTTGAGTATAATAATAGGCTGGCACAGCTGCAGCCCGTGAACACTCAGTGGACAGCCGACCTTTAGTCTGAACACAGCCGACCTTATATATATATATTTTTTTAATCCCAACCTACTCCTAACCATGCCAGCGTAACCATGCATGGTTGGGGGCAGTTCGTCGATCACTCAAATGTGTTCGGGAAGACAGATTCGGCTATTATATTTGTGACACCCATTGGCACTGGCAGTGACTGTCACATCCGTCGTACGATATGCTTTGTCGTACTAGGATTTCTAGAGAGACTACGACTGGACTGTCGACATATAGTTGGTTTATTGTTTCAATTGAAAGCAATACACTAAAATACATTGCAGCGACTTGTACATAGTACAAGTCGCTGAATTATGCATATTAGGCAGTTACAAGAAATGAATAAAACACTTAATAAAATCTATAGAAACTACTATACATAGCAAAATAATTAAAATAATTAGACAATAATCATAATAAAAATTACCACACACTGATAGGTTACCTGACGTTGTTCAGAAGTGCAGTAAAGTATGGAATGGGGCTGTTTTTATATCTGTTGGATCTTGCCATCGGAATACAGAGCTGATTATTGCCCTTTAAATTTCTGTTGTGAACATCTTTCCGTAGCGGGGGCAACCAGTTTCTAAACGTCGGCGAATTCAACAGAGATTTGGCAAATTTAAGGCTTAGCGATTCTCGTCTAGTTTTCAAGGTACAGAGGCCAAAATGGGAAAGGGCTTCATCATAACATGAGTATTGAGGGCCTAAAATTATTCTTAGTGCACGTTTCTGTATTCGTTCTAATTTATCGGATTGTTGATGTGTTATATTGGCATTCCATACAGAGGCAGCATATTCAACGGTTGGTCGTATATATAATAAATAGATTTCGCAAAGGTCATTGATGGGAAGGCCGAAACGTTTTAATTTCTTTAACCAGTAGAGCCGTGAGCTTGCTTTTGTCGTAATGACCTCTACGTGCTTATCCCATTTCATATCCGCTGTCAACCACAGTCCAAGTATGCATGCCACTTCTGTATGCTCAAGGACTTTACCATTAAGAAGGATATCGGGGGGAGGAGGAGGGTCGTTAATAAAAGTGATGTTCATTATTTTGCACTTATCTTCATTTAGTGACATATGATTTTCTGACGACCACATTTCAAGTTGATTAACCGATGTTTGCATCGAGGTTGGTACACTTAATAATCTGCTTTCCTTTAAAGTCAGATCATCTACGTATTTCCATCTATCCACAAAAGATTCCATTGCCTCATTTACAAATACTAAAAAGAGAACAGGCCCTAATTTGGTTCCCTGAGGAACTCCTGATGAAATTCTCTCCCAACCAGAAGTTGCGCCTCTGTACCGAACACACTGTGTACGTTCACTGAGAAAATCACTTATCCATGGTACAATAGAAGTACGTACACCACAAGTTAACAGTTTATGGATTAATACTGTATGATCAATTTTATCAAATGCCTTGCTAAAATCAGTTAACAGGACAGTCTGGATAGTTTTAGGGGTGTCGGCGCCAAGAAGTATTGAGTCAACCAAACTAGTGAGGTAGTGAACAGATGATCGCCCCCTTCTACTGCCATATTGGTTAGGGTCAAGAACGTCGCTTATGTCAAGAAGGATCCATTTTGTGATAAAAGATTCAAACGTTTTTATCAAGATAGAAGTGAGTGATATGGGACGCAGATTTTCAACTGTTGCAGGGCTTTTCTTTGGTATGGGTGAAATTATGGCTTCTTTCCACTGTTTGGGTATTCGTCCCTCATCCAAAGAACAGTTGAAAATATGTGCCAATATATCACTCAATTCAACGGCAAAGGTTTTGACAATCTTGGGGGACAGATTATCGGGACCACAGCTTTTTCTTGCATCAATGCGTTTTAAAATTTCGTAGACCTCCCAGGAATGTACTTGTGGTGGTCTGGAAGGAGAAGGTAAGTAAGATGGCAATGATTCAGGATCTAAACATGGAAGTTGGTTAACGATGTCTGAAAAGTGACGGTTGATCACATCAGCAATCTCCTTGTCCGTTAAGGACGTAGCGCTGGGGACGGAAACTGATAAGCTACGCCGAAAATTTAGTATATTTCGTAGATGCATGTGCCACTTAGCTGGGTTCACGGACTGACATGTACACGGGCCCGCGACAACTTTTTAAGTATCAAAACACACGAGTGAACGTTTATGCATGCGGTATTACGGTAAGTCAAGAGTTCAGAGAGCTTGACAGTGGGTTGACAGCACGCGGATTGACAGGTGGATTAACCAAAGGTCAAAAAGTCAAATGTAGGAAATAGGATGAACTGAAGTTGAAGGTTGAGAAGCCCCAACATGCATTCAGGAAGTGAAATATTTTATTATGTTTACCGAAGGAAAGCATATAGTTTTTGCTAAGTTTCTTTCTCCTCCTCCTCTTCCTCTTCTGTTCCAAACACTAACCTCTGACCAGACCAATGACATGATTTGTTGACGTCTATCACCATGGTGACTGGTGTTAGGTTACATAATGTTGCAATTTCATGGTCTGCTCTACTCCTGTCCCCATATACTCGTAGTACATGTATGTGAATGTGTTTGAGTAAAAATTTACTGGGCAGACCATGTCCGAAGGTAAACATTATGCATTTGCTTTGCAAATGTTACTTCTCTAGTTAAATTTTATCATTTATTCATTTGTTTATTCGCCAGGTTTGTCGTGGTTCGGCCGCATGATGGTAAAGCTGTTCAAAATCAGCCCTATAGAAGAGTACATCGTCAACGGAAACCAAATAACCTACCGGCAGTACCATCAGCAGAGGCCGGTGGCTGACATGACTCTTACCATTGGCCAACCACAAAACGTCCACATGGAGGGGTTTGGCCACATGGAGGTAAATAATTATGCTTTTGTTTGAAAACATCGGGGTAGCGAGTGCAAGAAGCCCAGTTATGCTTAGGTCACAATTCCCACACGGGGCCCGACCGGGCAGCTTTTGGGAACGGAAACTACGCTACAGATGATAACAAAACACAGAAAAGTTCTTAATAGCAATCATGGGCTCTATTCCGTTATATTCTTGATATGAATAGTTAATTTTCGTTCGTACAAACAGCCCGGCCTGGCCCCGGTTTGGAAATGTGACCTAAGCATTACAGATTGAATGGCACCCATGCTATCACATGGCAACTTCATTTTTTTTTAAAAGGAAAGTGATGTCGATCAGAGACGCTTAGAATTGACAATGTAAATATAGTGCACAACATCTGTTATGTAATAGTATATTAACCTGACATATAAATCATATTGTAGTAAACGCACGACGACTAGGCCGGATATCCTAGCTTGTTAACGTTTGGCCGCAACATCTGTTATGTAGTAGTATGTTTATCTGAATTGTAACTGACACTGTTAACTGTTACCTGTTCCGAATTGTTTATGTTATTGTTGTGAGGGCTAGCCCTTTATAATAGCCTCCGGCTAGTTGGGCAGTCCTGGCTGCATACATATGTGTTATCAGCCTAATAGATCAAATCAAATCAAATCAAGACAGACGTTATGTACAGTACTTACAGGGTCATTGTACATGTACTGGGGAAATTCTCTTATAGCCCCATCTTATAGGGACTGCGACCCTTTGCAGTAGCGTGCATATGGGGAGAGCGACAACAGCCAGGATTCGAACTCGCAACCTCTTGGTCCAGAGAGTCCCGTATTTATCTGTGCTATGTTCATGAAATGATAGATATATAAAAGGATCTCATACTAGTATTCACGTTATCCTGACTCACGTTGTTTTGATTCTACACACAGACGAGGGTGGATTTGGACGAGTACGGCCGACTTGTGACACGGACGAAGAAGGGAAATAGCGAAATGGTAACCACCGGCCGTATCGACAGCCAAGGACGACTGGAACTGGTAATATTCGTTGTCTTTTCTTGCTCCATGTTTTAAGTATGTTTACCGAAGGAAAACATATTGTTTTTGCTCAGTTACCTTCATCTTCTTCTCCAAACACTAACCTCTGACCTAGCCAATGACCTGATTTGTTGCAATCTTATAGTAGGAGGGATTTAGACTCCTGTTTGACCATATATATGAAAGTATTTGAGTAATAATTAACTGAGCAGACCGTGTGCGAAGGTAAAAATTATGCATTTGCTTTGCCAATGTTACCTTTCTAGTTTTTATTTTATTTCATTTATTTGCACATATGCAATAAAAGCAAAGTTTACAAAACATATTGCAACGGAAAATAGCAGGGGTGGAGAAAAAGCCATAATGGCTTACTAGTATTTGAAATCTCCCCCATCATAATCTTACATTATGACAATTTTGTCAAATCAAATATAATCTTTCTTTCTTTTTACAGTCAATACTTCTCCCCTCAGGAAGAACTTGCCGGCGTGTTTTGCAGAGGGTGCAGTGATGTCCTAATGTCGCTAGGAGGCGGTGTGTACCAAGAAACCATTTCAGCATTCGGAGGCGATCACTTGTATGAATCAATTCAATCTACCAGATTATACACTACATTTCTGATTTTCCATACAGATAGGCCATAGAGGAAATAGTTTTCTTTGTTAAGATACGACTGTGATTGAGTAGATAATATTTTTACTTGATATAACTCTTGCAAATGAGAATTATTTGTATATGAGAGGCATCTACAAGTTGTAAAAGTTAACATCATTTGGTGGAGGTATGGGATCGTGGTACTCTAGTTAATGTAAGGCCACGTTGAATTGATTATATGAATGACATCCTATGGGAGTCTTAAAACAGATGCGAGCGTGATAATAAAAAAAGTTCGGCAAGGAAAAGTTAAAATCTATGTGGTCATGAAGGTAGAACAAATGACTTAACACACAGAGTATGGTATGGCGAAAAAACAAACTCTTCATTTTCATTTCTTCACATTTTCTTCTTTTCCTTTGGAATTAGCATTCTATGACAGTAGTATCGTTTTCCAATATTTCAATATTGCAATTTACGGCAAATATTTGTTTTGCTCATTTAGATGCTTCTTTTTTGGAAACGGACGAAATTTCATGCGCGCGCGGATGTCATCCATAGAATCAAAACAACATGGCCTAATGTATTATGTATATATTGTTATTGCATTGTATTATACCATTGCAGTTGAATTTAGTGTTAAACAGGACTTCGCGGAACTTAAGTTAATGTTATGTATGTAATGTTTATGTGGAACTTATTGCATTGTATTGTACCTGTTCTATTGACCTTTAAACATACTTTAAACATAAATTTTTATATAAACAGTTGTTTTGAAATGTTTACGTGTAAAACATGCCGCATTCTCTCTGCAGATTTCGAAAAGAAAACGCTATACTCAACCAAATTCCCGCTTTTCATATAGTGTTTCCATAACACGAGATAAAGACACCCAGAACAAACACACAAATGACACTGAAATACGAAAACTTAGTAATATATATCAAGACAACTAACTAGAAAGGCCGACATTTGCTTTGGAGCAAATGTAGAGGATGGCTTTACCGCATTTTACGACATGGCAGGGAAAGAAGGAGAAACACAAGGGAAAACAATTCTTTACATTGATATAATTATAGTACAACAGTTGGATAGCTATCCCCTACATTATTGGTTAGGATTTTTAATTGCATAATGCAAACTGTTGATTATATAATGAATATAATGTCCCCATTCCAGTTCTGGAGCAGGAAAGCTTGACATACATGTACATGTACCTACCAAAACACTTGAGTTCAAACTGTCAATATGGCATGGCTTTGTACAGGTGTTAACTGAGTTAATCAAAAAAACTCCCAACAGCCAATCAGCAAGAAGAATACAGGAAACCTGCATGCCTATTGGTTACTTGCTCTGCATACCGTTCTGATGAGTCATGGCCAAATATGGTAACACACTGCTGTAATACATTTCTATTTCTATAACACAGCCAAAAAGCTCGAATAAAGCCATTCTAAAAGCCTGTATCACAAAAATGAAAGAAAAAACGCCTGGGGGGTATTTGCCCACTCTCCTTCATGCCGAATTTCATGTTATTTGGGCCAAAAATAAAGGAGTTGAATATTTAAAGAAATGGCAGGAGAAGGAGAAGAGAAACGTGAGCAAAAACAATATGACTTCACCACATGGTGGTGAAGCCATAATAACACAGCTAGCCCGCGAGGAAGGGTGGCTAAGAGAAGACTAAATACTTTGCCGAGGGGCATTTCATTCACCAAAAAATCACGAAGAAGCAATTATATCCTGACCCTACTGACCTGGTATATGTTTGGAGGTAGCTTATTGTCGCAGAATACAGTATTAATGGGCGATCCCCGGGACTACACAAAGTAGTGCGGACGAAATTCTTGAATCCTGGTTAGAACGTGATATGTGAGAGGTAGCCAGGAGTAAACTGCGCTGTGTGGTATAGAAATATATAAGATTTTAGACTATAGGATTTGGATTGTGAAGTTTTTCCTGTTCGTGTATAAATGCGCCGCATCACGCAACTGCGTTCCAGGGTGAGCCGGCTACAGTTCAGTTGACCTTCGCAGGAGGCCAAATAAAAGAGGTGGTCAAAATGTTTAAAAAACATAACTTTTTTGTTGTTTTTAGTTATTTTCTAGAACCATACCGTAAATTTAAACAATTAAGTTGGTCGTGTCTCTCTAGTGCATCCTATTATAATTTTTAAAGCGTCGAAATGAGTCACTTTGGGGTCATGTATATATATAGAAATCCCCATAGGGCGAAAATTGTGTTCTGCCACATGTTGAATAGTACATTGTCTTTCAAGTTATCCAGGCACACCTATGTGTAACTGTTCATCGACTGTCCCATTCTGTATCTAGTTTGGGGGGAGTACTTCGTTACACTTTGCACAATACATGTACTACCTTCCTTACATTTCTTCCGTGTCTTTTCTTAATACCTCCTGACTATATTTTATTGTTTATGCTCACTATCTTTAGATACCTCGCCGCTTGTATTGTCCTACAAATTATTCTTAGGTACATCTCCCCCCTGGCAAATTTCAATAGAACAAGCGGCCACGAAAAGCAACGTAGACGAGGAAGTTAGACCACACCTATATTCAACGTCTCAGGTTCTCTTCGTGTAGCCAGGTGAGTTTACTCGAAAATTCTTTGCTTCATCTTTCAGCTGGCTTTTTATTTATTGTTTTGAATATCTCCACTAATATCATAGACTCATTTTACAACATTGCTTTAGCGTGTCCTCAGGTGACCCTAGGAGAAAAGCACTTAAATATCTGAATACGTCAAGTCAAACTTCATTTGGTAAACATGTAAGCTTTTTCTACAATAATCTACATGTAGGTTCTAAGCTATGCATAGCATTGTGAAGTATAGTATAAGACTGTTAGTTACTGGTATATTGGGGGGGGGGGGGTAAAAAAGGAATGTATCATTCTCTGACCTCAAAGACCCCTGTTTTCATGTAGAATCAAACTTCATTTGGTAAACATGTAAGCTTTTTCTTGAATAATCTACATGTAGGTTCTAAAGCTATGCATAGCATTGTGAAATAATAAGACTGTTGGTTACTGGTATATGGGGCGGGGGTGTAAAGACGGAATGTATCATTCTCTGACCTCAAAGACCCCTGTTTTCATGTAGAATCAAACTTCATTTGGTAATAAAACGTCAGCTTTTTCTACAATAATCTACATGTAGGTTCTATGCTATGCATAGCATTGTGAAGTATAGTATAAGACTGTTGGTTACTGGTATATGGGGCGGGGGTGTAAAGACGGAATGTATCATTCTCTGACCTCAAAGACCCCTGTTTTCATGTAGAGTCAAACTTCATTTGGTAAACATGTAAGCTAAAAATTTCTATAGGATAATCTACATGTAGCTTCTAAGCTATGCATAGCATTGTGAAGTATAGTAGAAGACTGTTGGTTACTGGTATCTGGGGGTGTGTAAAGACGGAATGTATCATTCTCTGACCTCAAAAACCCCTGTTTTCACGTAGAGTCAAACTTCATTTGGTAAACATGTAAGCTCTTTCTAGAATAATGTAGGTTCTAAGCTATGCATAGCATTGTGAAATATATTACAAGACTATTGGTTACTGGTATCTTTGGGGGGGGGGGTAAAGAGGGAATGTATATCATGTCCCCTGTTTTCATGTAGGGCTATTTCTTTTCAACGCCGTATTATATTCTGTTGAAATATCAGTCATTATTTCTCAGCTCATTCAATATTAATAAAAAGACCTTTCTTGTACATTTTTGCTCAAGTGCGAACTAAGAATTGCAGTGCACAGCAGGCTGTAAATTATCTGTCAAATCTGCAGCTACACCCAGTGTGCCTGTAGGCATTGCTGATTACCACAGCCACAAATGAACCTCCCTGCTTATCGTAGCCCGGAGGCCAGACCTCGGCTCGACATCCTGCTTCCTTCGGCTGAGGGAAGCCACAAGCCCCGACTACAGAGTTAGCAACTGGGGGTCTAATCTACTAGTATATCTCGTAATATCTGAGGAGGTGTCTACTAGTAGGTAAAATTTTACGATGAGCTAGGTTGTATATCACCCCTGGCAACAGTCTGACACCCAGGCTATGCTTATCTTAGCTGATGTATTTGTCATTCGACTGGCAGAAAATACCAGTTTAATGGGCAGTTGTAATACAGGTACAGATATAGACTGCCTAATACTACAGTTACTTGCAAAGTTGTCTTGTAGTTTGATAGGATTGTTGACTTAGAATCTATAGGTAAAGAAAGGTCTTGTGTTTGAGCAATCACCTCTATGCCCTTGTGAAATGCATTTTTCACGTATCTAGCATCGGTATTGTAAGGGACATTCTCTCGACGTAGCCGAATAGTCGAATTTGACGGACACTAACCTCGCCGACCCAGCCGACTTTGCGCCGACCTACTCCTAACCAGTATTCTTTGATGAAAAATGGTTGTTTCTTTTGTATCTAGGCTGCAGCTGGTATAGCTATTTATGGTTGAAACCTTGAAATAAAGAGACGCCTCATGTAGCTTGGTTTGGAGCTATTTTAAATACTTCAAGTATGAAATGATGACGAAAAGGTGCTAAGAAATGGCATTAATTGTAATCATTAGACAGATGTCCTCATCTAGAATAATTTTTGCCTCCCTAAAATTACATTGGATTTAAAACCAGTTCCCATGTCACGCTAAACAAAGTTCACAATTAATTTTCTCATAGGTAAGAGACGACAATGGGACAGTGCTGTTCCTGTTCGTGTTCCAGAGCTAGACCCGCCAGGATGCCTGATGTTGACGGTAGTCATTTCAGAAAATACATCTTTCCCTTTGAGAATCTGGTGTTGGAGGGCGGGGGAGCCAAGGGCATGGCGTATGTGGGTGCACTGAAGGTAAGGAATGCCTAGATTTTAGTGTTGACTGTGGTCTGCATGTGATTTAAAATAATGTCTGCATATTATCATGAAAGTTACGTTCGTCTGTGTTGGTCATTTAATACATGTTTAAAGTTAAAACTGTTGTTCCAGGCTATATTGGCTGACGATATACAGACATTTTAAAAGTTAAATAAATAAAAACTTCCCAATACAAAAGGTAAATGTTCTCACCTAGAGATTTCGATCAGCCACTCTGGTCTTCCTCAGCAGACTGGCGCAGTGTGGCTAGTCACGTGGCTTCTCAGAAATGTGACGTTTATATGTACTCTCCAAGCAGAGGATTGGGTTTGGGGTTATTTTTAGCTTTTTTTTTTTTGCTTTTTTATCAGGGTTTCTCTTTTATACTATTTGCACTGAATTTTTTCCCCACCAAAGACAAGGGTTTGGTGGGAAAAAATACAGTGCAAAAGGGTTTGGTGGGAAAAAATTCAGTGCAAAAGAGAAACTCCGATAAAAAAATCCTAAAAACACGCTAAAAATAACCCCAAACCAAAACCTCTGCTTGGAGAGCAGTTTATATGGTAACCGTCCCCTGTTGCGGTTGTTGTTGACGTCACTCTACTGGGTCAGTCTACTGAGGAAGACTTGTCAGTGACTGGTCGAAAGCTCTAGGTGACAATATTTACCTTTTGTGTAGGAACGAAAGTTTTTTTTTCTTATTGAACTTTAAAAATGTCTGTATATCGTCTGCCAATTAGCCTGGATGCCATCCTCCGTAGTTTATCACGTTTTACTGGTTACCACGGATGGCCAGGGAAAAGACACACCCGGCGAAAACTACGGGAAATGGTACCCAGGGTACATACAGCCAATGTTTTTCATAGATGGCAAGCAAATTGAAATACACAATGAAACATGAAAACCCTTGCATGGTGTACGTCTGAAAATATATTAAAGAATGTTTAGACGTTAGAAATTATTATCATTATTATTATTATTATTATTTGTTACACCAGGTTTTGGAGGACGCCGGAATATTGCGAAACATCAAGCGGTTCGGCGGCACGAGTGCCGGGTCCATCACGGCTGGTTTCCTGGCTGTGGGCATGTCTCCGCAGGATATCCTGGACAAGTCGAACGAGAACCTAAAGGACATTCTTCTAAGAGGTAAGGTCACTGATTTGGTTCTATTGATGAGATCCGCGCGCATTGATTTTTGCCTGTTTTCAAAAAATTCTGACTCCTACTCCGAGGCTCTGACGTGGTTGCCATCCTCCGTAGTCCATGATAACTAGCTATATAGGGAGCCGGCGGTAACTACGGATTGTCTGTTTCATTAATGATTAAAGATAAAAACATTTACCTATAGCATCTAGCCCCCAAAATAAAAATAGAAATAAGAAATAAAATAAAAATTGAAATAAAAATAAAAATTAAATAAAAATAGAAATAGAAATAAATAAAAATAGAAATAGAAATAAGAATAAAAGTAAAAATAAAAATAAAAATGAAAATGAAAATGAAAATGAAAATGAAAATGAAAATGAAAATGAAAATGAAAATGAAAATGAAAATGAAAATAAAATTTTCGACCTCCCAGGCCGTGACAGTGACGGTGCTGCGAAGCACAACATTGCGAAGTTGGCACTCCCTATTTTACTTTGATATAAGCCAGTATAAGTTTCTAACTTCTGGAATCAGAACAATGTCTTCCAGTTGCAAAATAAGTCGTACAACCACTTTTCTTTTATTCGTTAGGCCACACCAATTTAATTTGTTGGTTCTCGGATTCGCCTCTTCATTTTTTTCTGATTTGCAAAAAAAAAAAAAAGATTCTGGTTCTGAATCAACTCAAATGTGCTCATATTTTGCTCCTAACAGTTGAGGAAAGTCCTTTTTGTTACAGTTTTTCCATTTATCAATGTAGTGGTTTGATTAAAAGTTCAAAATTCATTGTTAGAATATTGACCCAGCCTTTTGTGTTGACTTCATGGCTCCTTTCGTATCATTTGAGGCTATAAGAGGATGCCTAGACCTGTTTTTATTTTTATTTTTTTTCGCCCTGTCGCTTCATATTTTTTCTGAAAAAATCCGAGAACCAACAAATTAAATTGGTGTGACCTTAGAAACAATAAAAAGTACTTCCTTTTTATTTACGTCTCCAGGCAGCCCATGCTATCTGTGTGGCAAGTGCAAATACCTCTGGAATCTCTACAACTTGTGTTATCACTACGGAGCCTACCCGGCCACATATTTCGTGGACTGGTACGGGAAAGCCATCGAAGAGCATCTCCAGAAGGTGAAGAACAGGAGGCAGAGGTCTGGTGAGGGGAACCCGGATGAGTTCGACAATCTAAACGGAGATATCACATTCGCTCAGGTACAATGTATATGGTACATCATTATATGTAAGGCCACAGCAAGTAAATTTTATGGATGACTCTAAATTTGATGTGATAGGGCGAAAAATACAAATCGGAGAAAAATTTTGGCCAATCTAACTCAAATTCGATTCAATTTGTATAGAAAGGTAGGCGTGGCCTAGATATGGTCAGATTGCTCCAGAACGTTTTCGAATTCGGGCCAGGGGCTTACCATACAAATCACAACTACATATCATTCAAAGAAACCAACACAAAGAAATTCTCTTACCTAAAGCTTTCGACCAGTCACTCTAGTCTGCCTCCGTAGACTGACCTAATGAAACTTGTCAGATGGCTTTTTTGAAGTGTGACGTCATCACTGGGTTAAAGGTACATAGAGGCTATTTACATCAGGGCCCATTACCCTTCACTCTGCCGCGACGAGGGCCGACATCGTCTACTTTTGCCCCAGTGTTGACGTCACACTTCAATGAAGCCACATAACATTAAGCGTCACTGAATAAGTCTATTGACTGGGTGACTGGCCGAAAGCTTTAGGCGAGATAATTTCTTTGTATTGGATCAAAAGTGTTTACATGTCATTCTCCCTAGGTTTACAATGCGTTCGGGAAGGAGCTGTGCACGGTGTCGTACGAGACGGAGTTTCAGACCGAGGTTTACTCTCACGTCAAGACTTCGCCACTCCTGGAGATCAGAGAGGCAGTGCGCATGTCTATGTCCATTCCAGGTTAGACACAGTATCTGTATCAGTATCATATTTTTTTAATATTCCAACATTTAATCACAAGACGTGATGACGGCACACTCAATTTTTTTTCAGCTTATATTAATGCCGCCACCAACACAGGGGACAATAAAACAATCATTTTCATCTGAGCGAAGTGAGGAAAGTCGTGTTAAGTGGCTTTCCCAAGGGCACAAGATCGGTGACATGTCAGGACTCGAACCCGGGACCTCTTAATTCCGAGTGGAGCACTCTGCCGCTACGCCACACGACCCCACAAGTCAAAATATTGTGTTCACTTCAGAACAGCCATGATTTGTAATTGGCGGGCATCACACATTCTTGTACGTGACACAACTGCGTGCTCTGAATGACGCTGTTGTTTATTTTCAGTGTATTTTGAAGCGTACAAACCTGCGGTCGGGGACATCCAACCACCAGTGAGACACATAGATGGAGGGGTGTCCGCTAACTACCCCATCTACTGTTTTGAAGGTCAGCAAAATTAAATCTAAAAATGATAAATTATGTTGGTGGACGAACTAAGCCTATTTCTTCATTACATTGGTTTGATATATAATGGTACAAATTCCATATTAGTTATCATTTGAATGTGAATGATGGCTCTTTAATTCTTCCATGTTTCTGCCCCTGACGGCCGCCATATTTGATTTAAGATGTTCGCCATCTTTGATTTCAGACAGCCGCCATCTTTGATTTGAAATTCCCGCCACCTGCGCTGTGCACCATGGGTTCCACTTGTCAAGCAATTATTTTTCTGTTTCCTTTGATTTTGATTTTGACAGGTTGGTGGCTGTCCATGGATCAAGGTAACACCTTCTGCCAACAACTAAGCGGGATAGATGGTCATGCCCTAAAACAGAACTTCCTCCCCGACGGCAGCCGCCAACACTTTCAAGTCGAGGGAAGTGCAAAAGAGAAGGAAAGAATCCATAAGAAAACCATTGGTGCTTGTCTGGTAGGCAGTCGTTTCTTATTTACTGGATACAGAAAAATAATATTCTACAGAAAGATATGCATAGTGTAGCCAGGTATCCCCAAGCGTAATAACGGTCAAGTCTTATACTGAAAAGAATTACAGATGAGAAAATATATACAAGTAATTCTAAGTGTTGCGATTTAGATCCGTGGAAAGTTTCGTTGCAATTACTCATCAGATTAGTTCTCAGAGGTCCACAACTAGAAAAAGATTTTAACAAACTTGGTCTGGGTAAAAGCTCTGCAGTTGAGAATAATTGTACCTTGTTTGCATATAACAGTTTTCAGACACCAGTCTGGAAGGCAGGTTCCAACCCCAGTTTAATGATCGTCTGGATCATTATTTGCGGGCTCACCCAGACTACCAGCGACTCTTGCAAAGACCAAATACAAAGTTTGCAAAGTAAGTCTTCCTCTAAATTCTATTTCTTGCAAAGACCAAATACAGAGCTGGCAAAGTAAGTCTGCAACAGCCTTTTCCATTTCTTTCTACTAAATTCAATTAATTGCCTTCGACAAGAAGGCTATGAAATCGTTTTGGCACTGTTTGGCAGATTATGCACGATACATTTTGAAGGCATGGTCCGAGGTTCACGATTTTTGGTAGGCAGGTTGTCTTAGTGATGGGCATTGTCAAGGCCAAAAATGGACTTCGTGGGGGGTTCTTGCGTGACTGGAGCTGACCTTTTGTGTTTGTGTTTCTTTTTGTACTCAAGATAACTCGGGAATCCTTAAATGGTTGTCTATGATTTTTAGTTGGCAAGTTACCGTTGAGAATACGAAGGTCGAGTTCGGAAATAGGCCTCGTGGGGGGGTTCCCACACCATTGAATTTGACTTTTTGTGTTGGTCGTTATTGTTGATAGCAGGATAATTCGAGAATCTGCAAATGGATGTTCGCGATTTTTTGAGCAAGTTACCGTTGACGATAGCAAGATCAAGTTCGGAAATGGGCGTCGTGGGAGGTCCGTACGTTGCTGTAGGGGGCTTTTGGTGATTGAACATTTTAAGAGCAGGCGAAGTCTTAGTCCGGTTTTATATCTAGGTTAAAACAACAAGTTACAGACAGGAAGCTGTCAACAGTGGCTTTCTTCGGAAAACATTTTCTTTTAATGGTTTGTTGAAACAACATTCCCCAACAGGGGCGTGCTTAACGATCGCTAATTTGACAGGTCTGTGTACACATCTGGAATGTGTTTTGATCGGGAACAAAGTTGGTATACTTCAACAATTGCCAGGTCCTGGCACCATGGATCGCCGGAAAAATAGTAGAAAATGGCCAAAATAAAGGGATTAGTATGCCGCTAAAGGGAATTAGCCCGCTAGAGAGATACAATTTGCGACTCACGGGAGGAACCCATTCATCTTACATACCACATATCATCACAACAATTGGCCATTTTGTGTGAACATTTTGTCTTCTTCTCTTGGCTGGCATGACCTCTGGTGGCTGAATAGGCCGATTCTTGATAAACAGGTCCTGCCTCAAGTCCTGCATGTCAGTGACTGGTCGATGTTGTAGTGCAATTGTTTTCAACGTATATTGGATATCGCACGCTTCAACAACGCTGGCTGCACATAAGAATAATTTAGTTGAAGGAGTTTTTGCCGTTTTGAAGTTTGGATCGCCGAGCATCGGAGGGGAGAAAACAACCTTTCGCGGCCAGACTCCCCAGGCCAGTTCTCTCTCTTTTTTTGCCGAATTCTACGATCCGTATTTTCGTAGAAAGACATGGTACAGGCTTGGGAAATAGTATGTTGCTTCGTTCACAAAAGGACTCTCTGACCACAATAACTAAGATAATCATCTTCCAAAAACCTACACTACACACACACACACACAACATCCACCAAAACAATATCACACTGTCGAAGGTATGAGCCCTCCGAACTCTAGTTCCTCATGTACCTATTATATCTCACTCCTCACCATGGTATGGACAAAATATATTGTTTTCTCTGTCGTGTGTGTTTTTTTGCTCTTTTCTCTTCACCTTATCATCCTCCTTTTATTATATTGAATGGATTTATACTGTTTGTTTGCAGTGAGTACAGACGGAAGATAGAAAGGCTGCAGGAAGATCGGACCAAGTTCAAGAAGAAACTGGAAAAGGACTTACAGGTAGAAGATAAGATTGAGGAGGTCGTAAGGGCATATCCGGACCTGGCGAAGATGAGACAGCTCTTTGACAGCATGGTAAGTGGAGGACTAATGTTTACAGTTAAAACTTTAGTTCCCAGACGAATAATAAATGTTCTCACCTGGAGCCTTCGAGTCTCAGGTATTCGTTTAGCCAGATCGTGTCAAGAAAGCCAGCATTGCCAGTTCGATGGAAAATTGAAAAAAAAAAACAACAAGAGAATAGAACTCCTGCAGTGTATGATAGACATTATGCAGGCTTTGTGGCTCTTTATTTTGTTTTTATAAAAAAAGACTAAATTACATAAGATAGAATCGTAGAAATGCCTTTGTTAGTGTGTTACTACTGGCAGTACTATTTTGGGTGGCTGAGCTGTGGGTTGTGTGTCTGTTTTGATCAGAGTAGGTTCACAGGCAGAATAACAGATCAAAAGGTCAGACACAGGAAGCAGGCTAACGTTGAAGGTGACTTTTAAGTTTTTTAATGTCCTACAATGTTCAATACATTTAGCAAGAATTCCACGATCGCATTACTGAGCCAAATGACGTTAATCTTCAGGACTGACGAATTGTAAATGTTTATAATATGATAATATTAAAGTTTTATCATAATAACGTTTATGATATGATAACATATGATAATATGTTGTTATGCATCCCACAGTTCACGGCACAAGACGTGATACAGATGTATGGAAAGGACGACAAGGACGCAGCTTTCAAGATGCTGTTTCTGAACCACAAGAATGAGGTAAATAAAAATTGAGGAAATGGAAGAAAGTTTTTTAAAAAGTTTTTACTAGTCTTTTATTCAAAAATAAAGGAATAGTAAAAAAAAATTGTAATATAAAACACAGTAACATTTCACGCAAACTTCGATAGTGTTACAATCGAGTAGGGCTATTTATCAAATCATCGGTTTCAGTATTTTATCTACTTACAAAGCAGTCGTACTGTATTTATATAATTAGTACCTATTTATATTCAAATCATTCTGTAACATCGAGTCTCTTGCAATCTATTGTACTTGAAAAATGTGAATAGTTTATTACGTAAAACATCGTATCTAGAGCATTCCATGAACTGACCACAATACTCCATCGAAGGTCATTGACCTCCTTGACAGGGTCAACATAGTATAATTCAGAGAATCCTTTAAGACTAAATAATGTCTGTTTTCTATACAGCCGACCACGACTCTAGCTCATAACATCTACCGTAACCAGAAGTATCTACAAGAAGCAAAGAACAAGTGTCTGAAAGGCACTTTCGCGGACAAACCAACGGAGTTTTACGCGCAGTTGGAGGAGTTCATGCGTAAAAACAGGCCAATGGAGGTAGGAGCCCCAAGATTCTGTATCATCGGTACTGCCGGTATAACCGCCCTTCAGCGTATTAACACACCAGCTTCTGTATCTGTATAGCCGGTATAACCGCCCTTCAGCGTAACACACCAGCTTCTGTATCTGTATAGCCGGTATAACCGCCCTTCAGCGTAACACACCAGCTTCTGTATCTGTATATAGCCGGTATGACCACCCTTCGTCGCAACACACCAGCGTCTGTATCTGTATAGCCGGTATAACCACCCTTCAGCGTAACACACCAGCTTCTGTATCTGTATATAGCCGGTATAACCGCCCTTCGGCATAACACATCAGCTTCTGTATCTGTATAGCCGGTATAATCGCCCTTCAGCGTAACACGCCAGCTTCTGTATCTGTATAGCCGGTATAACCGCCCTTCAGCCTTCAGCGTAACACGCCAGCTTCTGTATCTGTATAGCCGGTATAACCGCCCTTCAGCGTAACACGCCAGCTTCTGTATCTGTATAGCCGGTATAATCGCCCTTCAGCGTAACACACCAGCTTCTGTATCTGTATAGCCGGTATAATCGCCCTTCAGCGTAACACACCAGCTTCTTTATCTGTATAGCCGGTATAACTGCCCTTCGGCGTAACACGCCAGCTTCTGTATCTGTATAGCCGGTATAATCGCCCTTAATAAAATAAGCCCTCGGTGTAACTCACCAGCTTCGCAGGCACGCGGTACGGTGGCAGCTGGCTATATTACATGGCGCGACTTGTTACACCCAATCTTTGCACATGTAACTGTAGGACTTGTTTTAAGTTTTCTAGTGATGATGGCTATACGTTCTTGCTGGCAATGAGTTCCACACTACACTAGCTACGATAGTTCTTGGAAAATTCACCAACACCTCAATTCTTGGTTGATAATTATAACTCTGATATTTGAAGACATCGATCACTGGTTCTTGTTCTTTTCTGGGCTAGTATTAGATGCTAAGTGGTGAAAAAGTCTACCAGTTTATTAGTCATTTTGTACATCATGCATAATCTGGACACTTTTCGTTGATGTCTGTCTTCCATGGATAGGTTTCTTTTCATCTCCGTTGCACTAGCACTAGATTTCAATATTCTTGTGACGATTAATATGATCAGTAAAGATTCCCTCGCGAATATACCATAATATCAAATATGTTATAATAACTAGAAAGGCCAATATTTGCTTTGGAGCAAATACAGCGATGGGTTCACCACATTTTACGACATGGCAGGGAAAGAATGAGAAACACAAGGGAAAACAATGATTTACATTGATATAACTATAATATGAAGTAACATACAACTAAAACAACAGTTGGATAGCTATTCCCTACTTTATTGGTTAGGATTTTTAATTGCATAATGCAAACTGTTGATTTTCAAAATAAATAAAAAAAACGTTCATGCCCCGCATTCCAATGCTGGAGCAGAAAAGCTTGAAATACCTACCAAAACACTTGAATAAAGACATACTGTCAGTATGGAAATGCTCTGTGCAGGTGTTAATCAAGTTAAATCCCAACAGCCAATCAGCAAGAAATGCTCTGTGCAGGTGGAAATGCTCTGTGCAGGTGTTAATCAAGTTAAATCCCAACAGCCAATCAGCAAGAAGTATAGAGGAAAGCTGCATGCCTATTGGTTGATGCCCTGCATTCCATTGTGATGACTCATGCCCAGACGTGGTGGCACACTAACACAGTAATACATTTGCTATAACACAGCCAAAAACTCAAATAAAACCATTCTAAAAGCCTGTATCACAAAAATTTAAAAAAACGCCTAGGGGTATTTGCCCACTGTACCTCCATACCAAATTTCAGGACCTTAGGCCCTAAAATGAAGAAGCTGAATCCATTTAAAAAATGGCAGGAGGAGAAGGAGGAGAAGAAGAAGAAGAAGAAGAAACATCAGAAAAGCAATATGGGTTCACCACCACTTCGCGGTGTGGTGAACCCATAATGATTGCCATTACAATAGACTATTTCTAACATCCCCTATTCCATTTAGGAATACGATGTCGGCAGGAGCATTGGTATCAACGTGGATTACATCACAACTTTTGACTTTGGTTTGGCGACTGAAGACGAGGAGTTTCTAATGGCGGTAATCACTCCTAAACTATACTATATTTGTTTATTTGTTTATTAGAATTCACTACAAGTACAAACATACAAGTGGAAGGGAGGACAAAACAGAGAATCGGCCTCTTCTTTGCTACCAAAGATCTACCAGCGTTTGTTGAATCGATGATTGTTAGACATAGTAATTAAATAATGAACAAGTGACCAAATATTTGCAAAGACTGATAATGCTGGCATTGCACATGGAGTTATAATTGAATGTTATGAGTTGTTGATAGAAAGTTAGAACCTCACAATAATAAGCGCACTAGAATATTCTCTGTTTCTGTGATATCTGTTTCAAATGTAGATTTTGTTTTTGTCTAGCAAGGTGCTGTGGCTACTATGGCGTTCCTAC